GTCTGTCTATCCACGTCGAACTGATTCAACCCCACCCCTCATAGAACGAAACGATGACCTGGGAAGCGCAATACGAGAAAGCAAAAAACTACCCTTACATGCTCGTCCCGGGTCAGTCTATACCCGCCGAAGGCTCCATCCCCACATCCAACAGCACCGCCAGTTCCAGTCCATCTGCCTCCTCGTCGTCCGGATCCGGCGGCCTCAGCGGCGGCGCTATAGCAGGTATTGTCGTGGGTTCTGTCGCCTTCGTCGGCATATTGGGCGCATTATTCTTCCTTCTGGGACGGAATAGGGTGTATCAGAAGTGGATGTCCTCACAGGACGGTCGCACGGAGCGGACAGCGAAGTGGGCGTCGATGCTGAGCCCCGGCCATGGTGGCGGGGACCAGACGCAGAGCCAGGGACATGGACGGGGAAAGAGTGACTACGACGCGGGCGTCGCCGGGCTGGGGGTTGGCATGATGCAGACGACTCCCGGACAGCCCCTCCAGCAGCAACAGCAGATGCAGCAGCCGTACGGAGACTACGGCAACGCGCAGTCTCCAGGAACGGCGGTGTATGCGACGAGTCTGGATCTGTCGGGGTCACCGCCGCCCCAGAGCCAGGGGGGTCATTGGAGTTGGGATGCGCAGCAACAGCAGCAGGTGTACCAGGAGCCAGGACACGGACACCAGCCCGGGCAGGTATATTATGAGGCGATGGCGAGAGGGCCGTCGGAGTTGGAGGCGACGAGTAGAAAGTGAGAGAGTAGTGTGATGAGCCGATATACTTGAGCGGACCGTTAGCGGAACGTGCTTGACGTCGCATGATGTTGTGTTTATACCCTTCTTGGTCCCAAACTGTTTTCTATGGGGTTTCGGTCGTTTTTCCTAGTCATATCTTCCTTCTTTGTCACTTTTCTTTGAGTTATGAAGTATATAATATCAATCAGCCAACAAAACGAGCTGTGAGTTGCATGCAACCGGAGGCAACATACTATTTTCCATCGACAAAAGTGCCTCAAGCTACTGCCAGATGGCAAGAGATCTGTCGGCTGCACTCAGTCCACGGTGAAACCAGCCTATAATCCAGCGAACTATACCTTTTTCCTCCCTCACTCAATTAGCATCTCCTGATCCCGCGCCGATCCCGCCGAGTGGAGACCAGGTGGATAATCCCAAACGACGCCGTTGTAACAAGCTTAAATTACTCAAAATTCCCCCAGTTTAAAGAGCTTCTAGACTGGTCCACCTGATGATTTCTGCCGTCTGCATCTTTCGTCTTCCGTCTTCCGACTCCTGACACACACACACACACACACACACACACAACCCCGTCTTTCGGGATGAGACCACAATTCCAGAATCGAGAATCCAGACCATAGAAGATGATCCACTCGCGCCCCTGGGTTTCGGTTTCGCCTCGACTCAGGACACGTACATCCCGGAGCCGGGAAGTGTCAGATAGATAGGGGATCAATCGGATTGCTCGCAGTCGAGAAGGAGGTGTGGGTGGGTTTGTGGAGAAGCTGGCGTCTACGTACTGGGTATATAAAGGTCTACATCTCTCGCCCAACTCTTCCTTTCTCTCCGCACTCAGCATTCAGCAAACAACAAGCTCTCGTCTGTACTTGCAAGCAGAAATGGTCTCCGCCAACTCCCTCCTCTACGTCGTCCTCAGCGCCGCCTCCCTGGCCGCCGCGACCCTCGACCCCGCCTCCACCAACACCAAGGGCAAATGCCCAGGGACTTATAACTGCTCTGGTATTTCCCTTCTACCTGCATACCTACCAATGCAGCTAGCCAGCTAGCCAGCTAGCGAATCCACGCGAAACTCACTTACTAACAAGACCCCAAAAAACAGCCAGCAAAGTCTCCACGGCCATCCAAGCCGCCGAGTGCTCGCACAACACCCGCACTTCGGGTACGTTTGCCCCCCCGCAACACCTCCCCC